TCGCTCTCTCTCTCACTCTCTCTCTGATGCCTTCTATAATCGATTTACCAAATTGCAAAAGTGCACTTCAAATTCTGTCAGTAATAACTTGAAATACACTAACTCAATTTATGAGGGTAACTACACGAAGTCGAATGTCCTATTTCCAATCTCGCAAATCGTATTCAATTTCGCTATAGCATTGACAGCAAAATAGGTTTTTCAAGTTCACTAACATTTGTTTACTTAAAAATCGATGTATGACTTATTGATGGGACGCTGAGCTTAATCAATGCGAAATAAAGTGATGATCATGTGGGACACGTTATCGCTGTATGCGTCATCGTATGCCTGCATGTCTGCTCGCCAGGATTGGGAGGTGCGGCCGTACAACTCTGTGTGCAGCGACCGTACAAACAGTGACCAATCATCAACCTCTGTTTAACCTAATCCCCCATCCTGATCATGAGTAGCTCCCTGCGTGTACACCTTATCCACAATATACTGACTGAATAAACGTGCTCCGTGCTACACGTCTGTTTCCTTTATAGCTGGGGTATAGCTTAGTTGGGTCTGGGAGTCTAGCTAGATGTAGGAGGGTCTGCCATAGAGAGTTCTGAGTCAGTCAGGCTTTAATAAAGTAGCAATCGGCTAAAATCTAATAATCACCGGCCATTGAAAAGTGAAATTCTTCTCCAAACTCTAAACCTGCTAAAGCAAGAAAGCTTTCGGATGGGTAGAGCAATTTGAGAAAGGTGTGGGAACTTTGCACAGGGTAGCAAGTTTATTTATGACAATAAGCGAAATTAACTTTTATTCAATTCTGAAACCACAACAGTTTATCAAAGTGTTTTATACCCAGTGTTCATTGAACCGTTATTTAAATTAAGACCAGCCAGTCAAACAACTTAAACTCATTTATTCTTTCAATGATTTAGAAAGCAAGATTCTTTTTAAATGATATTCAACACCCTACAGCCTTAACGCAACACAGGTACGATTGATAAAATGATTCTAAATTTGAATTTTTTGCAGGATGTGCCCAACTAGCCTCCTTGATTAGTATTCATGTAAGCAATATTCAAAATCTACGAAAAAACTCAATGTTTAACAAGGGCGGCAAAAGTGGAATTATTTTAAGGCGTTGAGTTAGCCTCTATTAGAACCTATAAATACTCAAACCCTAGGTGAATGAAAAGGTTATAAATTACACAGAAAAGAATATATATGAAATTCTATTGGTTATCCAAAGTTGCAGGTAGTCTTGCATATCCAGGTGGAAAAGCGCGGGTTCACTATTTGTTAATTTAAATTCTTTCGATGGCAGCGAGAATGCTCATTCACAGCAGCTTAATGCTATCAAATCGGTTCGCTTTGCACCACGTAACCCGAAGAATTTATTTCCGTGTGAAATAAAGAGAATTGCTTAAGTCGTTGAAAACTGATCTTACCACACGCAGAACTAAGCTATCGATCGGATCTTTTCCACAACCAAATCGTCACATACAAGACAAAATTAGAATGCAGTGGCTCTCAACAATGAAAAAGCATGAATTCCTAACTTCAGGAAATAGTCTTCTCAACAGCTACAATGGTTATTAGCTCCCTAACTAATGTGAGCATTGTAAATGTGATTAGAAGTAATTCAATTACCAAATTAAATTACCCAAGCCAAAGGAGTTGTCAAGGATGACATCCACCCAACCATCACATTTAAGTGCATTCCACTAAGAGAATTAGCATTACTCTCATTATTAATATAAATATTTTTTAAAAGAGAGATATTTTGGTATCATCGATTAGCGCAGAAGAGTACAAAGGAAAAGAACAAGATATGGATAAAGATGAAAAAAGAGAGTTGGTTGGCAATAGAGATAGTGGTAATAAATGGGCACATGATCGATTGGTGGAGCTTGGATAATTCGATAGGTGTCACATATCATGTAAGCTCTCAGATGCGTTCAGAGGTTGGTTCCTCCTCGTTTCCATTTTCACTGTCAGTATGCCGATGGCTGTCATTTCTTCCAGTAGGATTCCTCTCCAGCCTGGTGACCCTCGTTTCCAACTCCTGAATTCGGGTATTAAGTCGATCGATCAGTTGAGACATCTGATCAATCACAGTGGAGCATTCCAAGTGTGAAGAAGGTGTGTTGCTGTGTCTGATATTAACCGAACGATTGTCACCACCTTGGTTCACCAGCATAGACTGAAATTAAGAACAGAAAGTAAGCCCCACACATTTCCAACAATCACGTTCAAGTATTTTATCAAAACATAAGGCTCAAGGAATGTTTTATGCTGTTGCTACACGTCTCCGATTTGGCTTTAAAATAAAGGTCCAAAGCGATAAATATCGAGAATTTTTATATCTTGGTTCCAAAGGCAACGCATTAACAACCTAAACTCGGACTCCTTAATGCATAAATACATACACTTTTAAAATACTGTTAACAGAGCATAAGCATAAGCTCGTAGCACGAATTGGAAACATAGTAATACATATTCTTTACTTAGAATGCTCGAATGGGCTTAGTGACCAACAGAATAGAAACATGAATTAAGTAGGTGGTGCTTTTATACAATTCTGAAAATCGCCTCACAATCTGCCATCTCTATCACTGATTATGCACCAGCAATGCTGACTAGCTTGTCAAGCGCGGTGATACCGGCGTACTACATTCAGGAAAGTTAAGTTTGTGTAGAAGAGCAGCATAATGGAGCCTCTCTGGTGATAAACTTGAATCCTGCAACTATTCTAATTAATCAGACCGGGCCACTAATAGGTCTAATAGGTGTGCACGAAAGGCTCCAGAGCAGCGACCGCTGATTTCGCAGACAGCACGTGAACATACGCGCTACTGGCTGTCTTTAATGAGATCAGAGTACTAGTCAAGAGACAATCTCATATTAAATAAGCTGAATTTACACTAAAAGTGAAGAAAGCACAAATGGAAGTACTGCTTTTTGACTCATCAAATTAACTAGTTTCAACAAGTTGTGAAGTAGCGTTTGAGAAATGCAGATGACCAAATGACCCCCCCCCCCCAGGCACGCAATGACTCACTCATCCAAGCAGAAATAAAGACGCCTTAAAATTATAGTCAAAAAGCCTTAACAGATATTATTTAAAGAAAGCCTTACAGATGCGCGGGAAGGTTGCTGTGACTGTACAAGAAAGTTCGAGCTAGAAACATTGGCAGCCTCCTTGACTGAAACCTAAAAAGGAAACAGAATAAGGCAATAAAAGAAATACGCAGAAGTAATCACCTCAAGGATAGCGTAATTCATAGAAGCCTGCATTTTTAAAACCAAGTAAATACACCTGGGAAGCTATTCAGTGAAGCAAAAGAAGACATTTCGAAGGGAAACCTAGAATGGGCCTCTGGAAATATGACCCTTAACAGGGATTGATTTTAGCACATAGTCGCCCCTAAGTGGTACAAATGACAACAACTTAAACTAGTGTTATTGGTAAAAACCTCCAGGTCCCAAGCACCCAGCCTAACTATATAAGAGATAATTGTTCCAACGAGACGGAAATTCTCCAATCTGCCGACAAGTTCTGAATATTGTGGACGAAATCTCAGCTATGAACCTGACACGCAAGTAAAAAACTTAAAAAACATAGTATGGCAAAATGAAACGCACACCCAATGCCTCCAAAATTCAAGCAAAGTAAGACTCGTTATACTCTGAGTTAAGTACGTACTTCTTCGAGACTCCTGCTCTCATTACATGCCTTAATGGCTACATACGTTATTCCCCTCAGTCACCAACTAAACTAAGAATTGTTTTACACGCTTATGATAAATTATAATAAGTGAATGTTTGCATTATGGTACAAATAATCTTTATAAGTGTTAGAAACAAATCAACTATTATTTGCCAAAAATCATAGCGGTCCCAAATCAACAGAATCAATAAGAATGATTTGAGGAGGACATTAATGATTAACAATATGTGAAATAAAGCAATAATAGGTTCATCCGAAACATGCTAAAAGCAATCATTATGAAGAGCACAAGTACGCACCCCAGGGTCTTTGCTTAAGTGTTCCGTGAGGTGAAATTGAGTAAACTTAAAGTTCATTTGAACTTTATTTTTAGCCTCTAAAGTGAAATGAAAAGCAAACCAAATCGCAAACACTAGTTTTAATTAACTTTAACACGAACCCCCAGCCAATCTTAATCTAATTAGCATAAGAATCAAGAAGATGGAAGCAGTACTTAGGTACAAAAAAATCACCGGCCACAAAAAATTAGTTAAGAGAAGAGTTAGTCGACGTCAATTCCGAAGATTCCAAAAAACTTGAGGTTAAATATTGCATACTTTCTAGCGTTGTTTAATTACAACACACTAAAAGCACAATACTTCCACTTTTTTGCAGACATCCGTGGAAAGGATATCTCAAATTCGAACTCAAGTAGACTGAAAGAACTTAACTTAAATCTGATTTAGGAACTAGCGCAATCACACATTAGTGACGGCTAAGTAATAAAGAATAAAAAATAGCATTAGATGTGAGGAAATATTTGGGGAAAGCTGAAACAGAATTTATTCTGTCGTATTTAAACAAAAAGTATCCTGACATGCAGTTACCTTTGAGTTTTATTAGGCTTAAAACTGCATGAAATTGGGCAGCTGTCTACATCAAGTTTCGGAACCTTGGTAACCAATCAATTCACGTGCAATATATATTCAAAAGAATAATTAAATCATGACCTAAACCTGCAATATCACCCAAAGCATTTATTAATTGTGCAAATTAATTACCTTGATGGGATCCGCATTTTCTCCAGCCAGCCAGGCATCGGCAGTAAGAGCAGCAACTGGAGCGAGAGTATCAGGATAGAGATCCTCTTGGAAGAGACCCGATTTTCGAGGCACTGTGAAGGAAATTACCTCACACCAATTCTTGTTGTGGAGTTTGTATAGACGAGCAATTTCACATACGGAGACGTTGAGTCCCAGCTTTGGCATAAAGGCGAAACCACGCTGAGGATCGGAGCTGTCGTAGCGATTCAAGTAGTAGACCTGCTTGTCTTGCGGGGAGTATTCAAAGTAGCGCACGGTACTATCACCCTAACGGGAAAATGGATTTGATCAAATATTTATATTAAGCAAAAAATTTAATATGAAAAACAATTTGACTCTCATGAAACGTCAATGTCAATGGTTGCCTAGTTGATCTACCAAATAAGTAAAAGGACAATATGTATGGCTTTAATGTTGAAATATTCAATATTTTTGTTAGACCTAGAATGAGTTTACTGTATTTAAGTACAAATTTATATGACAGTACACTAATTTTTGTTCCCTTTAACAAAAAATATACTTCAATTAGAGGTGAATACTAAATGAGTCTTGTTTCAACAGGGAAAACATGCAAAATGCAGATTACTCAAAAACTTCTAAAGGTGCCCATTGAATCACCTACGCTGAATGCCAAAATATGTTTCTATAGCTTCAGCGATTTTAATTAAGCTCTAATTTCATAATATTCCGAACTCACTACTAAAGGAGATCGTTGTGCAACGCCTCCTAAACAAATTACGAATTGGCGTCAAAATATCAGCTAAGTTGGCACAAAAAATCTAAGAACCAGATTGTTTAGAAAATCCAATAAGGTGAAATTGCCCACTTTATGGGTTAGCGGTAGAAAAGTGAAATGAATTCACATAAGAACAAAGAGTGAAACTTTAAACTGTGTTTGAAACAACCCAGTTTCCATTTAAGGGTCCTGATATTTGTTTTGCCTAGGTACTTACTAAAAAGATAGCAAAATGCAAAGCGTCAAGGTTGTCAGTGTTACTATTTCACTGATGAGATGAGAGGAACCGCATAGTCCGTCTGTTTACACAAATCAGAACTGATAGTCAAATTGGCTATAGACCAAAATGACCGCATATATACAATTCTGACAGTACAATGGTTTATCCACCTACTCCTTTTCAACACGCTGAAAACATAAGAGGAAAACAGTGCCCTTAGATCCGAATCCCAATATGGACAAGACAGGATTTACCATAGAATATTTTTAGCTTAGCTACCCTAAAATCGAGAATATCTGCAATTTAAACGATTAAAAAAAATATATCGAACCTGAAAAAATTCTGAGAACCGAAAAATACCCCCCCCCCAATCCACCTAGGAGACATCTAAATGTGGAGACCACCGATTTGCAGCGAGAACTAAATTCACGAACACAAAAATGAGGCAACCCCTCAGCCTCTCCTATATGCAGGTGACAATAATACACATGCTGTTTAGAAAAAAACTAAACAGAAAAATAACTAATGTTACATTTAGAAAAAAGGGAAGAACTTTTATTAAGCCTGACAGATATCACTAAAAACGAATCGATAAAATAATTTGGTATAGAAGACATTTTCCGAAGTGGAGTTAGTGTTAAGTGCACATGGGTGTGACGCTTAAGATAGCAACATTAATGAAGAGAACGTGTGCAAGTGAGAATGCGCAAGACTATCGTGACGACGCAAAAATACACAGGTTCACGTAGCCTCCGCTAGTCTGTAACTGTTTGCTCAAAGTTTTCAGAACTACACACATACCACAGATACCCACTTTGTCAAGTAGAAAATCAATACAAAGGCAACAGTAATTGCGATGTAAATTGACGTGAGTGTATGCATATGGATAAACACACAGACGTTTGAACGCGGACATGTAAACAAACTAAATTGAGAGATTGCTTGCATGTGAATCAGTGGATTTCTGGGTCCAAACGACTAACAAGTGGTAAACGTACACACAACTCACCATCTCTCCGCCTTAAATCACTAATTGCCATAAAAGGCAACTGATGACCCTATTAATACTAACCAGTACTCTATAGCTGAAGTGCAGATAGCGAAGCTGAGTAGGAATACTTGTCTACAGATAAAAATTAAGAGCTGCTACGACTCGAGGATGGGTACTGACCTCTTGTTTTCCTTTTAAGCCGATTGGAAAAAGCTGCTTTTCATCATTATTATTAAGTAAAATTGTCGCAGCTAAAATCGTAGCGATTGTTAAGAGAAAATCGTCACTATGCCCCGCAGAAATAGTAGTCATTTCAGAATAAAAAAAAGCTTGTAGGTGCCAATTTGAATAATAAATTTGTTATTTTCGGTTAGTGTTAGAAATACACATTAAAAATAACTACGGACCTTAATACACTAGAATAGAGGAAAGTTCAATTCAGAAGTGATATATCAACAAGAGGATATGCAAAAATGCTGTTGATTAATAATAAAGGCTAGGTTGATGTCTACTTTCATCTGTATCGTTGTAATCAATTGAGACGGGGAGGAAGAAAGGTTTTTGACGTCTCGGTTTCCCAATATTAAACAAATTGTTTCCTGATAAAAATCGCCCAGTGTGCTTCAATAGTTAAGATGGTGAATGTGAAAAGGAGACAGTAGCCTTTTAACGCTTGAAAGAGATCGCTCATGAGAGGATTTGGGGTAGTTGGAGCAGGAAAGAAATGGGTGGATCTTAGCTGACAGTCATAAAGGTGATTGGTAACCCTAATAGCATCATACAACAATTTCGTTAGTACACACACTAATTTGGGAGGGTAGAACCAGCAAAAACAGAATTATTTTAAAGGACTAAGAGTCCAGAGGCAATAGATTCTACTCTTTTATCGTTTAACAATAACTTTACATTGAAGTTATAAAGTAAGCTTAGAGGAATGAAGTCAATTAAAGTAAAAGCAAAAAGTGAATAAAACCAAAAAATAAAAACCGCCTTTATAATTTAATAAAATACTGAAAAGGAACGTAAAATTAATGTGAATACAATCGCGTACTTGGATGCTAAACTTGATTAGTCCACATAGTAACAATAAAATTATACGAGTCGATGAGCTGTTAGATACAAGTGTATTAGAAAGTATTAGGAATAAAATAATAAACCTACCTTTCCGCAAATAAAGATCATTTGAGTATCGGGGTCGTAGTAGGGAAAGAGAACACCATTTGTAATATCAAGATCCTGACGCCAAAGACAGTCATCCAGATTGCCAGAATCCCAAAGAGCAAGTTGTCGTTCGCTCATCCTTGAAAATCCCGTGGTAAAGAGTCTATCATCCTCCAAAAAAACGCACATTTGAGGTTTCTTGCCTTCATGGCAGATGCCTTTCTGTTATAAAGGAAAGAAATTTGATTAGACTAGTCCTGTATTAAAAAGAGAACAAACTCATGGAGAAAAGCTAAATGAGCTTCTTAATACAGGAGACCTAATTTAAAATTACCTTTAAGTACAATGAATTTGAGAATAACAGAAAGGGGAATATCCAAAACGAAAGTCTTTCCCTCTTCTCAAACAAAGACTTCAGAACTGATGAGTCACCGGCATGTCGACAGCCCGAAAAAATTTAGACGGCTGAGTGCGAGAAAGCTAATGCCTATCTTGCCAGTCATTTAGCTTACTCACCCAACGTATGACGCGCGAAGCTTATGGTGGCCGATTAAAATTTTCATGGGAGACGAGAGCTGTTTTGCAGATACTGCAAGCGCTCACGCGTTCTCACTGTGCATATGATGATGTTGATGATGGAAGTGGCGATTCGAGGAGTAAAAAGTAGCTAAAAGCTCACATGCTGCATATGGAGGAACAGAGTTAAGTGAGCCCCCATACACATTTTGAAGTCAACAAGAGCTATGAAAGCTAAGCGAATTTTCACAACCAAAAAGAGGAAAATAACATTTAATTTGAGTATAAAAACGGAGACGTGCATTTAAAAAATTGCCAGTTCTCGGATCCACGATACGCGTTACACCATCTTTGCAACAAGCCGCGAGTTTAGAGCCATTGTAACTGAAACTCAAGCACGTGACAAGGTTGGGAAACTCCACAGAAATCAATTGGCTTTGACTCAATGAATCCCAGATAATAAGAATATTATCAGCTCCTGAAAAAATAACATATTATTCAGAATTTAGTCCAATCAGAATAAAACTGAGAAAAACTATGATCACAATTGGTAATTACCTGTAGATACGATAATGCCCTGAGCAGTAGGATGCCACTGTACAAGGTATACTCTTCGCTGATGGCCAATTAATGTGGAAATCGCATCGGTCAGAGGATCTTTCCCGATTCCGCCTTCAGGAATATCCCAAATCTTGACTGTACAATCATCAGAAGCGCTGGCAATGATGTTATTATTGTGAGGACACCACTGAATATCCAGAACCGCAGAAGTATGGCCTGCAACCATTGGCAGCGTGTTAGGCATTCGGCCAACCTGAAATGCAATAGGAAAATAAATATACAACCAAATAGTCAAACGCTATTTCAGACAATTGAATTGCATAATTTCGACAAACCTGGTTGATAGGAATCACTGCAAATCCACCACCACCACTTGTTTCCGTGATAATGGCGAGATACTTTGGGTTAACAGCGCAGAATGAAGTGTCATGAGTGCTTCTTGTAATAGGAATACAATCATAACATTCGTCGCGTTTTAACGCTTTGCCAAAAACATGCTTGTATTTGCTTTGTCTAATGGCCATCTTACACCTACAGTAATAGGGGGAAGCCCAGGAGCGCCTTTATATAGGGGCAACTTTAATTTCGCGCTAACGCGATCAAACAACAACTATACCATAAATATATATATATATATATATCGACGATTGCCATGTTTTATTAAAGGTAAAATTATATACTTAGATAAACAGAGATCATACCAAATTTTTCAAGAAATGTTGTTTTTTTCTTATTACGCAAAATTAATGTTATTAAACTGGATATGAATAGAGTATAGTAATTGGACTTCGTTTAAAATGTCTAAACAACAAACCATATTGCATGCATTTTTTCAATTAACAATAACTGTTATTATGCATTTTGCAGCAATAAGCATAAAAAATTTTGTGAAAAGATGTATGATAAAATAGTGGAATTGGAGTATAGATGAAGAGGCTAATATTTCGAAGACACCAGTTCTTTCAAAGGACCAGAGATTGCATTTCACCAAAGTTCGTACAGTTTAACTAAGTTTCCTGTTACTTTACTATCCATATGTTTGAATATTTTCTGAGTTAAGAACTGATGCTATAAACAAGTTTGCAGTAAGCCGACTTGTCTCAACTTCCGATAAAATAACAGAATATCGGAAACTCACAAATTACGTCATCAAAAGTTCTGTGACTAGAACCACTTGCTAACTTCTTTTAAAAATAATAGTAAATTTCCTATTTTAGGTTAGGCCAGTTTGGATAGGGCAGGTGCTGAAATTGCCTCCAAATAATAAAAAATAATAATAATAGCTGCAGGTCTCTAATCCGAAATAAACAAGGAAAATGGTTGATTTAATGCTTCTAGTAAATCATAATCTTTTCAGCGAATGAATAAAATTGAACTTTTCACTAGTAATCAATTTTAAGGATGATAGTTCACTTTTATGTAATAGTGGCTTATTATTGTCGATTTAACACAGACTTACCTCCACGTGGTGCACCACGGGCAACGTATACCCGTACGGCAAAAAAGTCAATAAACCGGCCGTTAACTTCGGACTTCAAACTGCCATCACCTAACTGTATGGCATATTCGACTACTTCCACAGTACTCACCCCTCACTTTTTCTACCTTCGTCTTTGAAACACTCCTCTGTAACCCCCCCCCCCGTCCCAACTTTTTTCATTTTGATGTTCCTTCGGCCTCTGTGAAGCCTGAAGTCAACTTATGGGCTTATGATAACCATCAAAACGCCTGCCATTTGATATAAATAAATAAATACATTAACTATCATTTTAAAATGTTTTTCAGTAGGTATGGAAGCGTACGAATAATAATATTTGATATACACTAATTAAGCGAAAATTATGCGATTTATCAGATAGCTATTTTTATCTTTATTTATTTTATCCTTAACTGACTTCGTTGCTCTTCACTTCAACTAACTAATGAATTTTGGACTATTTTGAGCTCATAATAAATCTTTGCTTTGTACTTTGTAACAAATTAGGTAAAAGAATGCACATCTTGCCTAATATTAGGTCTGTAAAATATACTTCCGGTCCAAACCAAAAAAGAGTCTTAATTTAATAAATATATTCATAAAATATTATTTAAAAGTGGGTTTCTTAGGGCCAACAGACGATTCTCATTCTTTTCTATGCACTGGTGAGTATTGTCTCCTTTGCCATTTGTACACGTTTGATGCAGCAACAATACACAACACAAATACGTGCCTATGATCATAATTTCAAAATCTGCTTGTAAAAGAACACCCATATTAGTTAATTTCATCACGAAAAGGACCGAGTTGTCGATTTATATATAATGCATAAAATCCGTCAATTCAAAGCATTGTGTAATACGCTAAAAAAATGTTTGCCATAAAACAGTTGGGCATGCGTGTTGTAATGGTGGATGAATACGCACTTGTCTTCTAGACAAGAAAAAGAATTAGAAAGGCACAGAAAAGAAAGTGATGGAAGCGTAGCTCAAAAAAGTCCCAACTTTAAATCCGCTAACACTGAGGGCAGCAGCAATCGAAAGGCTTCTACATACAGTATAATGACATAAGAACACTTCCGGGATTGTGTGAAAAGCATACAAAGGGTAGGGATGGTGGGATTTCTTAGTGTTAAAAGTTGTAAGGATCAATTCATTCGGATTGTTAAAAAATGGGACAAGGGGTGTTAATTGGAAGAGGAGAAGAATTTCATCTATTGATTTTCCAGTTGGTCTCCGTGAACTATCCTTTGATAGCCTTCCGTCGAAATTGCATCGAATTCTGAACCCTCGAGGTTTTGTAAATAGAGAAGTCTTGCCATTCCTTGACAAAAGAGATCATTATCAAATTAAGATACTATTAATCATTAACTACTTAAATACTTTAAGTAGAATAACCAAATCGTACCAGATGGCTGGTGTTTCTTTTTGGATTTGAAAAGGTTCATTAATTTTGTCCCTGTCGCGTCAGGTCGCTTGAGAGGAGGCTGAGCAGAAAATGTCCCCAGGCTCTCTGGAAGATATGAATGACAGTTAAATATGTTGAAGTGCCTCTTATACGATTTAATTATTCAGTTATTTATAAAAATTTGTGCCGAACTAAATACTTCCAGCTTTTTTTCTGCTATAAGAATATAATCTTTATTTACTTTAAAATCTTTAAAGCATTTCTAACGAAACAGCTCCATGTTCCTTATTGGAAACCATCCTAAAGAACGTTCCTTGTGTAGTGATGATATGCTTCAATGCTTCAAGATTTGTATGAGCTTGTCCCAATTATAACAAAGATACTTATAAATTCTCCAATCCAAAGTTAATTTCTACCATTCATCAATTACATAACCTTCAATCAAACACTTCTGCATAATACTGTGCATGAGATGGTGGCCTCGTTGGCCCCTTTCACATGGAAGTGTTCGATAGATGACGAGTAATTGAGACTTTATAGGTCAATTGGAGCCTTCTGCAATATTTCCGTGGTCATATTTCATAAATGTTAGATTTATGGATCTAAAAATGAATACACCTTAAAAGTGAGAAGATAATGCGCTGTTACTCTAATTTACAGGGAAAAAAACAACTAAAGAATCGGTTTTTTGAGGTAATATCACACACACACACCACGAGGAAGAAAGGCAAATACTCTGAAGGGAAGTGTTCGATCTAAACCATTTACGTCTTCATACGGTTATTCTAGTGAATTATTGAAATTCTAATCTGATTTCTGGGTTACATAAGTTGGATGCATTCATTGGAAAGATAGTGACTTTGCAAATGTAATATAAGTGCTCCTTTGTTAAGAAAACGTATATTATAGAAACTAGTGCATTTGAAAGACAATTCTTGGAAATCAGCTTTTTATGTAAATACCTAATAGCTAATAAACACAAATAGAATGTGAATTAAGGTCAACGCAGAAATCTACTTAAATTATGAGAAGAGAGCCTCTTCAAGCTAGAAACCCTAAATTATCTAATGTATTTCCAGTCTCCTCGTCTTAAAATATGCATCAAATGGAAAGATTTCAAATTCATGCGGATAGCTTTAATTAAAGCGCATTTGGCAACATACCTGCAACATTAGCAGCCGGTGCAGCATACCTCACTACAGTATCCCCCAGTGGTTCGCCATGCTCTCCATGCCCAAGATTGGCTGTAGAGCCTTCAAAAAGACTATCCCCCAGCCCACCACCACTTGTCCCACTGCCACCCCCAACAAGACTCCGTCGATCCATGGGCGCTGAAGCAGATGTTGACCTGCCAGTAGCTGCTGCCACAGCAAGTGCCGATGCAACGGCTGCTGCCGTGGAAGGATCCACTGAGGCCTCTGACGACTCCACAGAAGCCGCTGTCAGACCTGCTACCACGCCAGCTAATTGGGAGCTCGGCCCAAGCAGTCCGAATCCGCTAGATGCGTTTGCACTCCCACCACTACCACCAGAAGTTAAATTGGAGATAACACGCGGAACGGAGGATTTCCGTCGAAAACCTTTGGAGGAGTGTTGACGAGCACTGAGAGCGGCTGCATTGGTATCAGCCATCCGAAGATTCTCATATGCGGGCTCGAAGAGACGAGAACCTCGGGTTGATGTGGAACGCTGAAGACGACTTTCGTGCTGCTGATTGCCGTCAGCTAAAGATGAGATGAAATGCAGATGCTCATGGGATCGAAATAAAAATTCTACTTTGAATATTAGAAACTGCAACAAGAATTTAATGAATCTCAGTTACTCAATGTGTGTTCTTGAAAATTCGAAATCATCAATTTCCATAGCTAAAAATGTGCTTTAACCAATAGCCATTCCAACATTCAATAATGGAGGTCACTTGGGTGTGCTATGAACTTTGGTGCACAATGTTTGGCGAATGCCTGAGTAGCTATTAATGATGATACTGATTGTGGCAGACTAAATGAGCATAACATCAGATCACTTCAAATAAGAATCGAAACGGAATGGAAAAAAGATTACTTGGATACGTCCAGCGAGACTAAGACCAAAGTGAGATCAGCGCAAGTTGGTTCAGGAGAAAATTGGATCTTAGGGAAAAGAAGGTATAGCCTAGCTTGCATTTTGTACAACCACATCTGGCAGTGGTCAATTTACGAAAGAAACAGGTTTAGCTAGAATAACTCCCTCGGCTTCTTTGCATTTATCATTCATCACCAGCGGCAAACGACCTATGGATTGGCCTGAATGCGGTTGGAGTTAACATGACCAATTCATAAATCTGATCATGCTAAACGTTACGTGAAACCTAATTCGTTTATTGATTAAAAAGCAGACCGAACAGACTGCTGTCTTCTCACAAGTAGGCTTGGAGACAAGTCGTATTGGAAAGACAATAGGCTCGGAAAATTTAATATTGGGGAAGATTAGTCACTTTTACATTGCTAGAGATGAAAAGTAGTATGCGTTCGCTGCCTGGCACATCCCCAAAAAATTTGCCGCAAATATTCCGAGTTAAATGATGACACGAGAATAAACAAACTTCAACAATCAACTCGATGATTTTCGAAGCGAAGACCATGGTACAAGACCCATTTTAACAACCAAGCTAATTGGATGAAAATGTAACAACGCTTAGAGACCTTTAACGCACGAATTATTTTTTTTTTGGAAAATACACCATGTCCCACTTACGCGTGTGCCTCATGGTAGACTAATGCCGCCGACGTGGTGAGTTTTGGCGGTGCATCAGGCGAAGGCTATAGACACCTACTGAACACTCTTCAAACAGCACTAGCGCCTTCTGCTATTAGTCTAGTACCAATGGAGCTTACGTTGAAAGAGGACCATGCGGTCCTAAGGGCGTTAAAGGGTTAATATAAATTTAGTGAATAAAGTGAATTCATATAATCTCTAAATTATCAATTTCCTAGGAAGATAATTGAAATCTGATTAGTTCATTGCGTTACTTGGCCATGTATAAGACAAAAGATGCCTACAAGGATCTCTGCAAATGGAAAGGTTCAGGAAGGGAATTCAAAAAAAGAGGCTTGAATTTCCCTTCCTCACCATCATCTACCGGATAAAATGTCACCCAAAATTTAATGTCAACGTAAAGGTTCCTCCGGCTCTATTCTTGGGCATTTTTCCTGGACTCCCCATAATGTCATAGACACGGGAAAAAATAATTAGTCTTTTTTTAACAAAAACAAAAGAGAATACTTACTTCTGGGTGTTGGAGTCGGGTCTTTGGAATTTTCAGTCTGTGAGGAATAAAATAGAAGGATGGTGTTTAATGGTTAAGTCCTGATAAGAAATAGGACAAATATTGCTATTACATCCATTCATGCATTGGCGGGAATTGCAGCCAAGTGAATGTCGCGGTCATATGACCACTTTCATTTGAACTATCCAAAAGTAGGATTTTTCTTTGTCTGGCATACACACACACACACACACTGTTGGCAACTGCACTAAGTTTGCTAGTTTTGCCGTCTCCCCGGGGCCGTGGAAGCACCCTTACATGTTCCAATCCATATGTGGAATAATGAACAAGTTGAAGAAGACTTAAAATGGGGATGTCTCCAAATGGGGCGCATTATTTGGTAGGTAAATTCAGGGTGCAATCGAGATAACTTGGCCAGTTTATCCCAGACATGCTACACTGTTGTCCTATTAGAACTAATCTAGGTATTGGTGACAAGCGACGATACTTCAAAAAATAATTCGCTCAAAGTTGGTCATATAGGGTGAATACAGAAAGGTTAATTAATATGATGTTTTTACTTAAAAGCAGTAAATTAAGATTATTAAGTTCAGTATGGCACGAGACTAAGGAACCGTTTTTATTTTGGTCTCATTGTATAGCTACTTAAAATTTCTTAGCACTAATGGAACCATTGTCTTCTTTGTCCTTCTTCGTGTCATGATATTTCTCAGGAGTCAGAAGAAGAATAACTTTGATGAATTTCGGGCTGGGATATCTTCTACAAGTCAAAATTCGATTGCATCCAATTAAACTTGGATGATGATGATAATAATGTAAATATGAATCAAAAAATGGGATACTAAGTTAGATAATGAAATAATACAGCTCCTAGAAGGATGTGAGCAGGTTTTAGTATTCACTTCAGGGCAAATCCCAGAAACCTTGTAGTATGAGAGCCAACACCTATTCTCCATTTCTCGAAACAAGTACACTTTCTAGCACTGATCATGGGAAAATCAGTGCGCACAGTTCCGATACTTGCATTTAACCCAAAAGTGCATAAACCACACAGAAATTCCTTTTCTCATAGTGCCGACTGGATCCTCGTTATCTCACTCCCCCCCCCCTCCCCTTCCTTTATGGTTGGTGCTTCATTCGCTTATCCCTGTTTATTCATTTCTGGATGATTAATTAATGCAGCCACATTAAATTTATTAAAACCAAGAGTTTATTCAACTACTAATAAACAAATTAGATTAGATTTAACTATCTCGGCCCTGCAATGCTGAAAGCGTAAATTGAGATGGAAAAAAAACACTTAATTGACTGATTCCACCTGACCAAATACTGCTGGTGAATAAGCACTGAATACCGCGGTAACCAACTGCAGCCCTTTATTGAGAAGAGGACTTGTGAAATTGGAAGCTTGCAACGTTGACTCTCCAGTTGGTAAATATTGTAGAACTCAAAATCAAATTAAACAAGACTCCAAGATACCTCTTTTAACCAGGTTGACCTAACTATTATTAAACGATGTCAGTTAATTAACAATATCAAAAGTTGTGGATTCAAGTAATGATAGTAATCTATAATTCTACGTAGGTGCTTATGAAAGCCATGCGTATTGAGGCTGTAGTAGCAGAAAGAAAATCTGTAACTCAAATCACCGTATTTTTCCTCAAATATTAAGAAACTACAACTGATCGAATACGCATTTCTTTGGCTAACGAAAGAGTGATAGGAAAGAAGAGCTCCCACAAAGGCTAGTAAATGTCGCTCACAGCATCGACAAATTGTCCCTACTTCCAATGGATCAAAGAGAGTGTCATTTTCGAATTTGGTATAACACTGACAGGAATTTGTGCTGCGCGAAATGGGGAATTGAAAATCACCAAATTGCTGGGAGATTAAACCCATGAAAAGATGAGGGAAATGCAGAATTCATCGCTATATAGGTGCTTGCTTTTCCACCAATGTTCTTCTTTGCGCGCAAGTCTGGAAATTAAGTCAAGCCACAGCCATATTACGCAATTTGTACATTTGCGTTAAGAAATAAATTTTCAGCTTCATTTTCATTGAGTCCCACCAAGCGCACCGTTGCATCCTCTTTCGACAAATCTTAATAATATTATAGCCTAATCGAAATATTGATTCAATGTGCCTGTTTGGAGTAGTGACGAGGTATCCAATTATTATATACTTTCTCAATTCCTCACACCGATTTCAAGCCGACGAATTGTGCAACTTGTTGTCTCATCTCAAAATCAAAATTCAATACCTTTCAAAAGACCAACTCAGTCCAATAAATACAATAAATGCAAGGGCATTCGTGAGAGAAAAGTGATTCCAAAGCCCAGCAAATTAAGTTGAAGCGGTAAAATGCAACACCCAGTCCTATCTAGGTGTGGTAACCGCTAACTCCAGGATGATGGACAATACTCTCTCGTTAATATCCCACCATGGCTTTTCGGATTACATTAGAAACGCTACAGTCGTGGTGACAGTCTATTGTCCCCAAACCCATACTTTATCGTTCAATGGGTAATCGGAGTAAAGAACGTGACCCAAAGACGTCACACACACACGCACACCCACATACACGGCAGTGGGCACCCATTAACCTGAATTCACATGCATATATACATATATATATATATATATATATATATATATATATATATCTCAGACCATCCATTTGCATGCAACAGATTAGCCAATTCTCCCAGCCCACCTCAACGAGGCATATACGCACGTACAGAGATGCACAAAAAGCTTGTTTCAAAACCAACCTCCATTTGGCCATTTCCACCTGCCAACTTCTCTGAAAAGTGGAAGAAAGATGGAGAACTTAATAATAATGGTTAAAATTGGCTCCTCATAGATGCTTTGCCGTGCAAGCGCTGCGTGAAAAGGTGAACAAGAATTGAAATGGATTGGCAATGAGAACGTGCTTATGTGAGACGGTTGTATTATAGAGAGCCCTGGCGTCCATACCTTTTTCAGTGCGAGTTTGACTTGATAATTCTATATATACATGTATGACTTTGTGTTTACTCGTGCAAGCGTGCTAGAATTTTTTCTTGCGTCTTGTGGGCATTTCAAGACCTACCTCGATGTCCCACGTTGAAAGTAACTGCCCTCTGAAGACGGCAGGAGCCTAGAGATATCATAGCACTTACTACTGGAAAAACGAATTTCCTACCTTATTCTGATATTTTGGTAAAATGCTTATAACGACATGAGTAAAAATGAATGCGAAAAGCAACAAAAAAATATGTATCTGAATCCAGTGCGCGTAAGTGAAGACTAGCTAAATAGAGAAAACAGCTACATGCAGGCAGAATCCCATGTCATAAGTAGGAGAGTAGTGGGACAAACATGCTCACCCTTTGAGCCATGCGGAGATCTATTGTCGCTGGCATTCGTTGTAACAAGAGCGTTGCAGGATTCCGGGATGGAAACAGTGGTAATGGCAGTTTGGCTGATAGAGGAGTCTGAGGAAGAGGCGGGGGAGGTCAAAGCACCAGTTCGAATCTTTAAATTAGCCATTGGAGAACCGACACCAGAACGACCTTTGCATACCGAGAAGGGATCATCCACTATTCGTTCCATGAAATGAAACTGAAAAAAATACGGCATTATAGGTTTGTGACGATTTGGAGCCAAAATTGGCAAAGAAAGGAAAAGAAACAGAAAGAATGCCAACGTGTACTTTATCCTATGTGTACACAAGCACACACACACACACACACACACACACACACACACACAATTGGCAAATAAAATGGGTTAAACCAGTCAACTCCTTTTATAGAACCACAATTCTTTATTTGCTTAGCAAGCTTCATTTTTATGAAATGCGTCAATATTGCCTCCCCCCCCCCCCCCCCCTNAAATTTCCCCCCCCCCCCCCCCCACCTTCTCAACAATTTGCCCTCTCGCCCTTTACTTCTAACCAATAGAATTCTTGATCTTCTAATTTTAGAGGAAGGCTATTCTACCCTGTCAGCATTTAAGATCACTGTACTTGCAGGAGGCGAGATCTTAACCTAATTCGATCGAACTGTAAGCATGCATATGGACATTTCTGGTATGTTAGTTGAAAAAATTGTAACTTTTAGAAAATCACAGGTTCAAAAAATGTTGTACTATCAAAGTGGATAATTTAGCCGAATAACACCATCGAAGAGGAGAATCAACGAAAACAATAAACGGAAGAAAGACAGTTGAAGATAGCCCCACCCTACAGTTTTGGTAATCTGTAGGTGATATTAGTTACGGTGATACTGTGTGGGAACCTGTAGTGGTGAAATTTTCAAGATGGACAATGAATTGGAATTGAATATGAACCTTGAGAATAGAAATTCGAGTGACTTGGACAAAAAAAGGAGTAAACACGTACGGTGTGGTTTATAGGCAATCTCTACTAAAGATCTCCTGACCACTAAGCGTTCAAGAATGTGTTTGATCATCGTTGTTGAAGGATCTATTCAGCCGTACTTCCATAGAACGTCAAAAAATGTCCTGCAAAGCTCAGAGTGCACGATTTCCTCAAATGAAGAGATTCCAGATTTCTTTCCCCCCGCCCCCCTTTTCCCAAAAGCTAATGTTGTTATCACTTTCGACACTTGGCTGTGGAATCCTTTTAGGGAAGACAACTGTTTTTTTTTGGGGGGGGGGGGGAGGGGCATAAATGGAATCGAAGATGTTCCACAAGCAACTATGCCTCAATCACCAGGTTCACCGAAAAATAGTTAGATAAGATTGCTTAGTTGATGCAAATGCTAAATTTGAGGTGCACTTTAATTTCAATCAAGACAAATACACCTTCCTATTTTATGTTTTCGTCACCAACACC